ATATATATATATTATATATAATATATCAATATATATTCACAGATATAATTTAAAATATATATGTTATATAAGTTTTTAAAAGTTTCATGGTAAATATATATATAATAAAGTGTCAACACAGAGGTCCTTCTAAGCTCATTCAACGATGCAATATTGTTCACCTATAATAAAAAAAAACCGATACATTTGCATGATATATCGATTTTCTTTATAATGATAAAATTTTTATACTTCTGATTCGTTTTTCTACCGACTCTTACCTGGAGTTACAGATATTATCCAATCGAGAAAAGATCCTACACGCATCGATATACTAGGTTTACTTGAAGCACAGCCAATACCAGAAGATGTAGTACCAATCAATACAAGTTTATTTGTGGCAGGATCCAGCCAGAAAAGAGGTCCGCCACTATCCATCTATGGCACACAACAGAAAACGAAAAAAATCTATGACTGGAAAGTTTTATTTCACACCATTCTTGAGTAATACATTTTGCATATTTAATTCCATATTTAAATTTGCAATGAAAAAGCTAATTCTTCACCTGACATGTATCTTTCCCCTGCGTAAAAGTACACAGATTACGATCGTTTACATTAGGATAAGTCCTTTGACATTCTCTATTACTTATTACTTGTAGATCTACTTCTTGAAGCGTATTCGATTTAGAGCCACCATATTCCGTAAGACCCCACCCTAAGGATTGAATGATGTTAAAATAGATAATTATATTAGTATAATCACCCTAACAGGGATGTCCTATGGACGTTCCATCAGCTAAACGGGTTTTTAAGAATTCTGAGAACGTCCTATGGACTATCAAATAAATATCTCATTATGTTTTACATATATCTACAGGAAGTCCAAATTCGAAGTCCTAAGGATGTCCATTCGTATAATCCTTGGGACAATTTTATTACTTCCCATATATCAATCACATACTTCCCATTACATCACAGATATTCAAGAGATAATAAGGATAAAGACATCTTAAGGATGATCGCAGGATATTTCTCGATTAAAGTGTGCTGATTTTACAAGATATATTGAAAATATTTTACAAAATATTATATGAAAGAGAGCGAAGATGCTTACTGCAAAAGTGTAAGCAACGTGAACAGATTTATTGTTTTTAATATATCCCGGGTATCCCTGGTAGAAAAATTTGTCCGAAAATGTTCAAAATTGTCTGAAATGTAGTCAAAATATGTTCGCATTCAATATAAATTTTTTCGAAAATTGTCGAAATGTATTTTGTATATTACAGTTACAAAAAAGAACGCATATTTTCACCCGCGTAAATTAAAACACGTAGTGAGAAGGCTCGTTAAGTTTTTCGAACTAATATAATAAAGAGAGAAAGCCTAGGCTTTCACTACAATGCCTTACTGATGTCGAGTCCAGTAATGGAAGCCGGGACAAAATGCCAAAAATTACGTAATATTCTTCGCAATATATTGGAATAAAATTAAATGTTTTAACGAATTTGTTTGCTAGTATACCCTTTCTCTCTTTATTATTAGTTTGAAAAACTTAACGAACCTTCTCACTATATATACATGTTGAAATTAATTAAATTAGAAATTAAGTTAATAAAACAAATTGAAAAGTTGATAGTTACATTTAGTCCGAACGAATAACAAAAAGAAAAAGAAAAAATTGGCACACAGTTTTAGTTTTTCATATTTTTTCTTTCTCACAGCATATTCATTAAAGAATCGCTGGTCATTTTTATTTACGACTAATGATTATATAATACAATATAAAGATATAAAATTACTAATTAAATTATATACTTTTTTTATCCCTTGGCATTAGTGTCCATCTGAAGGTTATCTTTGAAAAAGGTTAAATTAAAAGTTACCGATAAAATGTAATAAATTAACGTTAAAACGTTAAAAGTCTAAAATGTGAGATTAAGGTAAGTTATTAAAATTAATTATTTTTTTAACCTTTTAATTTAGCACTATCCAAGCTGGTTATCATATGGAAATATTCAGAAATATTAATGCTAACCTAATGCAGTGAGGTAGATACCAACGAATGAGTCATATCTATGTTGAAATGGTAAGCAGGCCGGACCAACCTCAGAATTATATTCAAATCTTCCATTAATTTTACAAACAGCTACATCATTATGAGAGTATCCGTTATCTTCATAATATTCAGGATGAATCGTGTATCTGAGTAGCGCAAACAACCTGGTTGCGCTGGTATCAGCACCTATTAGCAAAGGGTGTATCATATAAATTTAGTATAAATTTTAGTCATTAATATAAACTTATTAAATTCATAATACCTCATATCGTTATATGTTTGTCATAAAAATTTTATATATACAAACAATGTTTATATGAGTTTATTTCATTACATTCATTACCTTTTTGCATATAAACGATTATGTTTTAAATTGCATTTCTATTAAATGTTACTTCCTCATATAAGCTGTTCATTTTTTATATCTTCGAATAAAAGGTTTTAATTCAGTAAAGAATAAATATTGCATTTATGATCAAAGAAAAGAAATAGAAATTAATATTTATTTTCTTCCTGTAAAAGGAACTTTTTTTTCTACTCTAACAAAAGTATTATAAAGTCAGACCTTATTAACTTTTTTAAATAAATTTTTATTACAAGCAAAACGTAGTTATTTAATTTAATTTGATATTATAATTGTAAACACACACATTTTATTTGCTTAATATCCTTCAAATATTCATAATCTTGAAATATTAATTAGATGTGTGTATTTTATCAAGAGTCACCTGTGGATGTATCATGTTCACCAACAACTACGCCAATCTCATTAATGTTCATGTTCTTTATGCAATGTACTGCCGTTATCACATGTCGGAGAGATATTATGGTAGCACCGCAATCTAGATTTCTATTTACAAAATTCACAATTCCAGCCATCGGAGGATATTCATTTACTCCAGTTTCCCTACCGCCTACTATTCTAGTCTAACAATAAATAAGCAATTTAAATAATTATATATTTTACTTTTTAATATTTAATTAATTAGTATTTTTAATAAATTATTATACATAGTTGATTAAAGCAAAATTATAAAGAAAAGTCACAAATAAGGAATAAATAAAAACTTTTCAATAAAATAAGTAGCATTTCATATAAAGTTTTATTTATAAACTTACCACTTTTTTCCAACCACACTGACAGTCATTTTGATTTATATCAGCTTTAATTTCACATAAAAATCGACCTTTCGAGTTATTTGTCGTGATAAGCTGTATAATTGGATTAAATCCTTCATTAACAACTGTTTGGGAACCACAGTAAACATTTGTAGAATTTCCTATGTATATACGAAATTGATTTGCTCTACAATCTACAGAATTCTGCAAAATATTTTGTTAAATTATTTGCACGCGTGGATGAGTGTTCCTTTTGTACTTCTTTTAACAACTTTGTAGCAATAATTGTAGCAATAATATAAATTTTGACTTGAATAAAATTTTTATGAATTTTTACACTAAAAAATTTAATTTTAAAGATATATCTATCTAAATTTCAAAATTTATGTAACAAACTTACTTGTTCAATAGTACACTTTATTTTGACAACAACAGGGCTTTCAATTTTCACAAAACAATTTTGTTGACCTTCATATTCATTCGGATATTCATCATTAAATATATACTTTGTTTGTCCCTCTTCTAAATAGTAATAGTAATTATTGCATTCAGATTTAACTCCATTTAGCACCAAAAGAGACAGCATTAAGCCGAATGAAATTACCTTGACTATAATAATTATATTGTTTTATTATATATGTATATATGTATATCAATAAAATTCTGTATTGATATAGAGTTTTCAATGTGGCATTTACGACATCTGAATTCGATAATATTAATTCTTAAAGTTTATTATTTCTTGTTATAAACATGTAATTGTAAATTTTTATGTCTGTAGAATAATGATAAAATGCATTGGAGATGGAACATATCAATAGATATGTTCTGCTTTATATCTTATACATTGTTAAATATTGTAAGATGATGTGTACGCGCGCGCACGTGTATGTGTGTGTGTGTGTGTGTGTGTGTGTGTGTGTGTGTGTGTGTGTGCGTGCGTGCGTGCGTGCGTGCGTTGTGTGTTGTTTTTTTTAATATCATATTTTTATTTAGTTTTCATTATGTATATTTTTTATGATATAATTTATGACATAAATAAAACAGTCAAAAATTTTTAAAAATAAAAAATTTTATTTCTTTAAACTATTTGAAATTTAAAAAAAAGAGGGGGGAAATTTTTAAATTTCCCCCTTCTTCAACATAAGTTATTTTCAAAATTATTTTTAAAATCTATGTATCAATAAAAAATCTTTTATTGAATTTATATCATATCATTCTTTAATACTTTTTTAATTTATCATAAATAATATAAAGAAGACGTTAAGTATATTTTTTATTTCATATAAAAAACATGAATTATTAGAATATTATTCTCTATAATTTACATTTTCAAATGTGCGTACATTGTAAATTGGAGTAAAGACTTAAAAGTTTTAGCAAAGGAAATTTAGCTACTTTCATTTAATAAAAAACAAGTAAATATCATGTGTCAGCCATATTAATAAAGAGTTACCGTTTGTTTCACGAACTTTGCAAAGTAGCTAAATTACATCTGTTATTTAAAATTATATAAAGATGTACTATTATATGGAAGTATTTTTTAAAATACTTTTTAATATATAAAATGCTATTAGTAATTCTCATTTATGTATATAATTTAACTAAATATTTAATATATATATTTAAAATGATGCATTTAATAAACGTTAATATCTGTTTGAAATTAATATTTTTACTTATAATAATAAATAATTAATTCAATTATTAATATGCAATTATCTTTTCTACTATTTAACTTTAACTGTAAATATCAGTCGAATTATGAAAAATGAAGATAAATAAGATGTCAACTTTATTGTTTGTACTATATTTACGTCTCGTTTTACAATTTATTTCATATAATAATAATTTATTTATTTTTCATAATTATTTTGTCTATTCAATCATATATTCCTCTATAAACGTATCAATAATAATTGGAAAAGTTTAAATACCTGCTTGCATGATACATTTATTACACGAGCCAAAATATTCTAAACTTAGTTCATTACGAAGACGAATTACTATTCTGACAAATAATCACTTGCTGTATAGCAGATGTGTCTGTTTTTATTCTGTGCGATGAAAAGATAAAGTAAACTGATAATATCTGACAAGCCTTATCTTTTACAGTTGTAACTTGTGTGTAAAACAGAGATAGATATCTTTGAAATAGTAGATAAATAAAGGTAGATAAACAAAGGTAATAATGAATTTAACGAGATATGAATATTAAAAGTGCTTACGTATATAAAACATTTTATAAAAATTTGTTGATTTTATTGTAATTAGAAAAAAAATTTAAATAAAATTTTTTTTTTTATAAAAGATGTTATTAAGTCAATAAATACCAAAAACTTAACACGTATTGATAAAGGTTTTATTTAAAATATAGAAATCTATTTTTTTGCTAAAATTGTACAATGTAAACTATATCCATGTTTTAACATAAAATCTAAATTAAAATGAAAAACTTTATGTTATATTTATTTCATAAACGGAAATTCGTGGATCTCTCTGTTTCTTCTCGCTCTCTTTTCTGTCTCTCTCTCTTTTCAAGATCTTGGTCTTTATTCAACATCTCTTTAATGACAGACATTTTTTTAAATAGAATTTTATATATACAATTTATGAAATAAAGGAATTTAAATGAGCATAAACCACAACCGCTGAATCAATTTAGCGAAATTATTCCATATTTCGTCGATTTTTTAAAACGAAATTTTATTGTTCGCACAATTAATAATCATAAACGTTTCGGCCCTTAATCTGGCCATCATCAGTACTATAATGGTATAATATCTTGTTTGTTAATATAATATAATGATAATTTAAGTTTGAGAATAATCAGTTGATTTAATCGATATATAAATTTTTCGCATCTTATAATTATTAAATTATATGATGTAGAAAAGAAAGAATATATAATATAACAGAATAAAATTATCAATAAAAAATTGATTAAAAAATACTGAGATCTTAAGTCATGCCAATATCCCTCAAAAAGAATAAGGACAATCAAGGAATAGGAACAAAAAATAGAAACAGGAACAGAGAATAAGAATTTTAACCAGTCAGATAAACGATGCACTATATGGAATACACAGTTTCTGGTAGGTTGAAATTCTTATTTTCTATATCAATTCTTATTGCACCGCTTTCAAATCGAATGAGGCAATACCATAGCGGTCTAAGTTGGAACGGGTGCTTCTAAATAATTGCGAGTGAATTTATATACATGTATTACGTATATAATTATTTGATTGCGCGCCGAAATTTTTTTAGACTTGAAACGCAACACTAATAAACTACCGCAGTAATATCACGATCGAGTTAAATTGATTGATAATTTAACGATTATTAATGCTGTTTACGCATCTTATATTGATTTTAATAATGTTGAATAATCTATTAAAACCTGTAATTAATTAATTTTTCATTGCGAAAAATATTATCTCGGTAGTCTAAAGGCTTAGGACGCTCGCACGGAATGCCAGATATCCAGATTCGACTCCCGGCCGAGATAATATTTTTCGAAATAAAAAATTAATTATTTTAAGGTTTTAATAGGTTATTCAACATTATTAAGATCAATATGTAAGATGCGTAAACATCATCAATAATCGTTAAATTGTTAGTCAATTTAACTCGTGATATTACTGCGGTAGTTTATTAGTGTTGCGTTTCAAGTCTGAAAAAATTTCGGCGCGCAATGAAAGAATTACAAACGTAGTATATAAATTCACTCGCAATTATTTAGAAGCACCCGTGATCCAGCTTGGACCGCTGTGGCATTGTCTCATTCGGTTTCTTATTTTCTGTTCCTGTACGTTCCTATTCTTTGTTCCAATTTCTTGATTGTGCGCAGCATTATCTTTATTGAGGCGGCCATATTGGTTATAACTTAAAATCTTAATACCTACAAATTCTGATTCATTAATCTATAACGACTATCTATAACTACTATCCAGATAGTAAAAATTTTACAAGATATTGTCTTATATATATATATATTTTTTTTTAAATGTTTAAATTTTATTAACATTATAGTAGCTTGATATTAGATCACATTTTACAAAGAAATAGTAATAACATTTTATCTTATAAATACAGCAAGACGTTTATAGATACATATGTGTACAAAATATAACATAAAGAAAATGTTTTCAAATATAACAAATAAATTTTTTAATGTTTAATGTACCATCGTTTATATTTGCTGTGTTATAATTAAAATAGTGGAAATAATAGTCATATATTAATTTTTGATTAGTCCACATCTGATTTAATTAATATTAATTTTAATTTTCACGTACACTGCATTATATTCTCGTAGAATTTCCAACAAAGCTCCACCGTCAGGACGCACTAGTTTATCGTAACAAGTAACTTTCGTAAATGATCAATGTAGTAGCTTGCACAGTAAAATGTGTATCGTGTCAAGTGTTTTACTGACAAAAAGCATAAAGAAACAATTGTTCCTTGAACGTAGATCGACTGTTCTATTATTTTGCGCACAACGACGATGATACAAGTCGGTATTCGTTTCTATCAATGCTTAAATATCTTTCGGTTCTATATTTCTTTCCGTATACGTAATCATGAGCTTATTATCGATAGTAAAATTACAAGCCGCATTTTAGGAATACGTTATCAATACTATTTTGTGTAATTTTATCTTTATCGTTCATCATGAAAAACAAGGACAGAATAAAGCAATAGCTCTGATAGCGCGTTCTTCGGACGCAGCCATAATGGCAATTTTTTACTTTATACAAACGTCGCAAATAATAAACGAAATATGTCACGAATTTGATTGTTACAAAGAAACATATTAATAAAATTATATATTATATTATGTAATTTATATTAATATTTAAATGTTTGCAAAAAATATCAAAATTTGTAAGTAAGAAATTTGAATTAATAAACGTAAAAATGACGTTATGATACGTGCTTAGTTTTTCACATACCAATAGTATAATGTGACTAGAATAGCGCCGATGTTATATGTACAAGTTACATTAATATTTACGACACACAATATCGAAATGTTCAGTATTCGAATATAAACACGATATCACGCACACAATGCAAGTTTAGATATATATGTATATATCATAGTATATACATTAGTATATAATATATATAATAATGTATATACTTTTTGCAAAAAAGTTTGACCTTTTTTGCAAATTAATTGTCTTTGCCCTTGTTGTATAGAGTTTATGCAAATTATTCTACGAATAATGAGGAATCTATGAATAGCAAATATGTGACTACAGATTGTACTGTTTAAGAAAGATAATTTAATTTTTCATAAGATTCTATAATTATTTTATAATATATATTATTATTATATATAATAATATATTCCAAACATTTTATTCATAATATTCAACATTTTATAAAAATTTTCTGCTCCAAAATATTCGCCACATTGCGATTCAAACTTTTTATTTGAATAATTATCGTTAGCTAGGATCATTTCCGACATATTTTTTGCGTGCTAAACACGATTTTGTTGACAAAAGTTGACTATTGTGTTACAATTTTGATAAAAATGACGAAAAGAGATTAAAATTAATGATTTTTTTTAGCTGGATTCAAGACGTATTATCATAGTCAGTTTTTTTATTTAATTATGATAGTATGTACATAAAGAAATTAATGAGACATAAGAATTAAAAACCTAGGACGAAGTTAGTTTAATGTGAATTATTACGAACAATTTAATGTGAATTATTATTTAAACAACAAAAATCCAGTTTCGTCTTAGGCTTTCAATTCTTATTTCTCATTAATTATGTTTTCACATCTACGGTCTAATAAGATTCTTATAAAAAAATTAAATTACAATCTGTAATAATATTTATTTATTTGACAAACAAATATTATAAGATTTTGTGAACTTTTTTCATAATTCTATTAATTTTAATGTCGTTATCTAAATTAAAACTGTCTGTTACTTAATTATCTTTTTCTAGTTTCTTATAATTTTAAATTTATTTTATAAATATTTGACAAATACAGAAAAATATTTTCTGTAGCAATAAGCAGATAATGTACAACTGATTTATAGCGAAAATTTATAATTATGTTATATAATTATTGCTTATAATTATGTTACAGTGATAGTACACTTTATTTTCGAATCAATATGTTATTATTGTATTCAATATAACACGTTGTAATCAAAAAGCCAGCAATAAATTTTAACAAATAAAAAATAGAATTCACACATGATTATATGCGTATTTTAAAGTGTTATAAATTAACTTAATGTTAATTTTTTATGCTAAAAGTTTGTACTATCATCTATAAAATTAGCAACGAAAAATATTTATTAAACAATTAATATGAATAACTCTTGTTGTTTTGCTCATTTAAAACTTTTAAATGTAGCTTTACAAAATTTGAGCAGTAATTCGAAGTAATATGAATTGGTCAGCACAAAATGTCTATGCGATAAAGTACTGTATTGTTCATAGATACAATCTTTCCAGGTACAGTGTATTCGCAGTTATATCAGTCCTAGGTTTGACCTCAACTCAGCTTTTCAGCTGAAAGTTAACTATTAACTGAATGAAACTATGGATATGACATCCAGATATATGCACGCACAAAGGCATTGAGGAAATTTCGTATCTGTAAAAAATTATAAATGTAACAATAAGTAATACGTATTATATAATAAGTAATACGTATCACATACACATTTTTGCTTATTGTCTTATTTTAATTCAAATATAATTGCTTAATTTTTTGCTAAATAAATAAACTTTTAATTTGATAATGTCTACAAAGTATGACCAATGCAATTTTTAAAATAAAAAACAAAAAATAGTATACATTATTTACATAACAGCAATAATTGAATCGACACAAAGAATTATAATCAGCGTCTGCAATGATTTGTTAATTGAGTCGTCCTGTACCTATACATACTATATTCTGAATTTAACGATATAGTATAAAAAATAAAATGAAGAGTATGTAATTGAATGATTTTATCAGCTGATTATATAAGTGAATTTGAAATGTAACAATTTCTTTCAAATTATACATGTGCAATATTATATACAATTACAATGTAAATACTTCTTGTATATGTATATCACAAAAATCACTCATCTGCAAGCAATACGCATCCTTACCGACAAATGGCAACGTGACCGAGATGCATCACTCGTAAATAAGTATCATATGGAAAAAAAATGAGCGCAAACATTTCGTTTGTGAAGTAAATTCCTAAAATTGTGCTCTAAGGTTAAAGTAAAAGAAATATGTTTTTGATATAGTATAATTTCATTTAAAAATTTATTCAGGAATAAATATACCTTCGGACTTGGAATTTTATAGAAAATTATAATTTTACGGAATATACATATGTGGAACATTCTCCGAATGTATAACGATGCATAATTATAGCATATATTTAACGATTATTTGAATATTGCTCTTACACTTTAAAATAATATTTTAGGATATTTTGGAATACGCTTGAAATATTATTTTAGGATTTTAAAAACAAATAGTACAGAAATATATAGCATTAGTTAAATATTGAATTACATACATTCATGTTACTCTATAGTGTGATAATATTATTGAATATTATTATCAATGATTAAATCATTCAATAACCTTTAAATTTTAGGAAAAAGTAAAACAGAATATATATCTGATTAAAATGTAGAACTCATTAAATAATGTTTATGTTTAGATTTTTCATGTCTAGATCATTCTTATATATGTATATAGCATGAATTTTCAAATTTTGATGGATATCTTGAGAAATCGCTCCAACGTTTCCTGAGAATATTCCTAGTAAGACAAAAAAGTATGCTTCACACACATGTCATTATATTATTTTTTTTATTAAAAAAAATTTCTGTTAAACATTACATTTATTGTAAATTTACTACTTGTGAATCATATTTGTGATTCTCATTTAAAATTCGAAAAACGAATATTGATATAACTTTTGTAGCAGGTTATTATCAATTAATCTGTATTTATAATTTTTAAATGTGATAAGACTTAATTAATACTAAAATTATTATCAAAATATGAACTGTAAACATATAAACATACACATTTCCTTAATCTAAGTTTTTGATAGCTTTGTTTAAAAATTTTATGCATTTATAGTTTTCGCGAAACCATGAAATTTTTTATATATAAAAATATAATCACTTTTTATGTTCGATAAAAATAATCTCAAAAAGTTTAATTTTCATTGAAACACATAATAAGCTTGTTCGTATTGCATACTTCTTAGTCTCGCTCCATAGTCTAGCTCTTTCATAATTAAACTAATATAATCTTTCTCTCTTAAGTTCCCCAAAACAAAAACAACAAAATGCTCCTCAAAAATAGCCTCAAATTAGTGGTTTATTAATTAATGTCACACATGCCTGTTAGAACACTGTGCAGTGTGTCCTTTGCGTAACAATTTTCACATACATATGTCGTCTGACGTGTAAGACAGCATGAAAAGCAGCGTTAAATTATAACACGCTAAAGTATAATGTTTGTAACATCTGGCATGTGTTTTGGAGTTACCACAAATTGCAACATGTTGAAAATGAGAAGAGGCTGTAAATGCAACGATAAATTTAAGATACATATTAAATTACAAAACAAATTATAACAAAACTAACATACTAATTTTAACCAAAAAGTAAATTGTGAAATTTTCATCGAAACTAACATGCATACCGATCGATTGGTTATGATCTCATCTATTAAAAATAATTGTTTCGATCATTCTAATGAGATATGCAAATACTGCTGTTGGTAGTTTGTCGAAGAAGGACGTCCATCAAGATAAAAATCATTCAAAAATCTGTTCTTTTATTTTGGTCGATACCGATCGATTCGTAATAATCTCTGCAATTAAAAATAATTGTTTCGAACCTCCTTAAGAGGTGCCCAAGTACTACTGTTGACATTTTGTCGAAAAAGGATGCCCGAAACGTGTATTCTTTGTAATAAAAATCATTAAGAAATGGATAAAAATTTGATTATCTGTTTTGATTGATACCGTTCGTTTTTTCATAATCTTTTTAATCGATTTTTTTAATCATGTTATTAAATAAAATACATATTAATAATTAATATTAAAATGACTCTAGAGAGATTTAGTATAGGAATGATAATGTCAATGAGAGCCGATTGTGGGTAATATAATACGTGTATGCGTGCGTACGTGCGTGCGTGTGTGTGTGGATTAATTGATAGTTACAGACATTTCGACCTTAAATTTGGATAATCCTCAATGTAAATCGTTGTAATTATTGGAGTCCGTGTAAAATTTATACATAATGAATTGTCGGGCGTTATGATTTACTGTCTTCGAATCATTGTTAAGCTATTGTCTAAAATTAAAGTATTTCAATTATC